GTGTTAGCCAGGATGGTCTCGATCTCCTGACCTCGTGATCCGCCCTTCTCGGCCTCCCAAAGTGCTGGGATTACAGGCTTGAGCCACCGCGCCCGGCCTATGAACTTTATAAGACTGGTTTTGAATCTCAGCTCTGCCATTTAGTAGCTCGGAGAAATGATTTAACCCACACCTCCTGACCCTCAGTTTCCTCTAAAGGTTGTTAGAAGAATCATGTTATTATATAAGTAAAATGCCTGTTAAAAAGAATGAAAATTCCTTACCTACTCAACAAAAAGGTAGACATAACCAAAATTTACTATGCTCAACCAAATCATTTAGCATACTATCTTTCTTATTATACACAGGAAACAATGTGATAGTAACTCCTTTCCAAATATACATGAGAACCACCCTTCATAAACCTAATCCTGGAAGAAGAAAACACTAAAAATTAACCAATACCAAGTTTATCCAAATTAATTATACTTACTGGCAAAGACATGAAGTAACTAAATTCAGCACTTTGTATTTACTGCCAATTTTTCATATAGAATTATGCTGAGAACAAAAAGTCTTTAAGACCTTATAGCAGATATGATCGCGGAAATTAAAACCGAAGCAAGAATTACCTAGCTAGTGAGGTATCCTTTGTTTCAAGGGCCACTGAACTGTCAACCAAAGCATTCAGATACCTGGAACCAGTGCTAGAGAGGTTGGCAGGGGAAAAATTCACACTCTCCATGAGAAGGTCTTGAAGATACTTGGCTAAAAACATGAAAGAGTTCCATGGTGACTGTTTGCTTTTTAAAACATTTTTAACAGCTTTATCAAGACATACTTCACATACCATATAAGCCACCCACCTAAGGTATGTAATTCAGTGGCTTTTAGTGTATTCAGAGTTGTATCCCCATCGGTACAACCTATTCTTAAAAACATTTTCATCACTCCAAAAAGAAATTCTACAACCCTTAGTCATCACTTTATTTCTTTTTTCTTTTTTTTTTTTCTTTTTGAAATGGAGTCTCGCTGTCACCCAGGCTGGAGTGCAGTGGTGCAATCTCAGCTCACTGCCATCTCCGTCTCCTGGGTTCAAGTAATTCTCCTGCCTCAGCCTCCTGAGTAGCTGGGATTACAGGTGCCCACCACCACGCCCAGCTAATGTTTTTTGTATTTTTAGTAGAGACAGGGTTTCACTGTGTTGGCCAGGCTGGTCTTGAACTCCTGACCTTGTGATATGCCCACCTCAGCCTCCCAAAGTGCTTGGATTACAAGCGTGAGCCACCGCCCCTGGTTTATTTTTTCTTATAGAGACCAGATCTTGCTAGGTTGCCCAGGCTGACCTCAGGTGATCCACCAGCCTTAGCCTCCCAAAGTGCTAGGATTACAGGTGTGAGCCACCATGCCCAGCTCCGTTTAGTCATCACTTTCTAATCTCCCAACCCATGAAACCCTAGCAACCACTTCCTGTCTTTACTCATTTGCCTATTTGGGACATTTCATATGAATGGCATCATAAGATGTGTGGTCCTCTGTGACTAGTTTCTCTCACAATAGTTTCAAGGTTCATTCATGCCACAGCATGTACCAGTACTTCATTCCTTTTTATGGCTGAATAATATTCCATTATATGGACATATCACATTTTATTTATCCACTTAACCACTGATGGACATTTGGGTTGTTTCCACATTTTGGTTATTATAAATGCTGCTAAAAACACTCATTCAGTACGTGTCAGGTTTTGATATGAACACATGTTTTCATTTCTCTTGGGTATAAATGGAATTGCTGGTCATATGTTTACTCTATGTTTAAACATTTTAGGAGCAGTCAGATTGTTTTCCAAAGTGGTTGGATGATTTTATATTCCCACTAGAAGTGATGAAGGCTCCAATTTTCCACATCTTCTCCAACAGTTGTAATATCTGTCTTTTTGATTATAGCCATCCTAGTGAGTGTGAAGTAGCACTGTGGTATTTGCTTATTTTCTTGAGACAGGGTCTCCCTCTGTCATCCAGGATGGAGAACAGTGGCACGATCTCAGATGATCCTCCCACCTCGGCCTCCCAGGTATCTGTGGACCACTATACCTGGCTAATTTTTGTATTTTTTTGTAGAGATGGTGTTTTGCCATGTTGCCCAGGCTGGTCTTGAACTCCTGGACTCAAGCGATCTGCCTGCCTTGGCCTCCCAAAGTGCTGGGATTGCAGGCGTGAGCCACTGTGCCCAGCCTAGCACTGTGGTTTTGATTTGAATTTCTCTGATGACTAATGATGCTGGGCTTTGTGACCATTTGTGTATCCTCGTAGGAGAAATGTCTATGTATACCCCTTGCCCATTTTAAAATTGGGTTGTCTTTTTATTATTGAGGTTTTCTTTGTTGTTGTTTTTGAGACAGGGTCTCGCTCTGTCACCCAGGCTGGAGTACAGTGGCACAATCTCGGCTCACTGCAACCTCCACCTCCTGGGCTCAAGTGATCCTCCCACCTCAGCCTCCCAAGTAGCTGAGACTACAGGTGTCCACCACCATGCCTGGTTAATTTTGGTGATTTTTTTAGAGATGTGGTTTCGCCATGTTGCCTAGGCTGACCTCAAACTCCTGGGCTTAAGCAGTCTGTCCGCCTCAGCCTCCCAAAGTGGTGGGATTACATGTGTGAGCCACTGTGCCCAGCCTTTATTATTGAGTTGTAAGAGTTCTTTACATGTTGTAGATACAAGTCCCATATCAGATATATTTATAAATATTTTCTCCCATTCTGAGGACTGTCTCTTTTCTTTTTTTTTTTTTTTTTTTGAGACAGTCTTGCTCTGTTGCTCAGGCTGGAGTGCAGTGGCACGACCTTGGCTCACTGCAACCTCTGCCTCCCAGGTTCAAGTGATTCTCACGCCTCAGCCTCCCAAATAGATGAGATTACAGGTGCATGCCACCACACCCAGCTAATTTTTGTAATTTTAGTAGAGACAGAATTTCACCATGTTGGCCAGGCTGGTCTTGAACTCGAGACTCAGGTGATCCACCCGCCTCAGCCTCCCAAAGTGCTGAGATTATAGGTGTGAGCCATGACGCCCAGCCTGTCTTCATATTCTTGATGGTGTCCTTTGAGAATAAAAGTTTTACATTTTGACGATGTCTAATTTAAGTACTTTTTCTTTTGTTGCTTGTGCTTTTGGTATCATATCCAAGAAACCAATGCCAAATC